ATGGCAGACAAAGTGTAAACAAGTGGCATGGCAGCAGATGATTCAAAGTATTACAGGTTATCCACACATGTAGAAATGCAAAGATAATGACAGTTAACTCGAGAAATACGTGCAGATTTACGATGAAAGGTAACTAATTCATGGCATGTAAAAATAAATACATATTCTAACATTCTCGGCCAATGTTGTCACAACGTTTTGACACACACGGAATATCATTAAAAGTAAAGTCACCCACCGAATAGTTAAATTATAGTCATATTTCAGGTCCATACAAAATCATTATACCTCATTAAAAATTTCTACACAACGCGTTATTTGATTGGTTCTAGATGTGATTGGGCCATAAAACTTCATATTTAACGTTCTCCGGTATGATTTTCATCATATTCCACCTCTTCGAATACCTAGTGCATTTTCCCGCACCATAGTTATCGTACGTTGAAAGAAAACTCCCGATAGTAGTAGACGTTACAATAACCTGGTTTACGTCACATTATTTCAAAGTTTAGGTATAATAAACAATTCCTTGCATAAATGTTCGGGAAACAATAAGACTTTTACAGCAAAGAAATATCATATTCCCTCCGGTAGAAGTCCTCTGGTTATATGATTATTCTTGGCTGAATAAGTCTTCATATTTTCATCACTATTATGCCATAAATGTACGAGGGTTGATCCAAAAGTAATGTCACTGTGTCCATATCTTTAATATTTGGCGTCAAATTATCAAATATAATGCACCAAAAGATGCAGAAAAAGAAATCTAATCAAAATTGAAAATTTCATTCAAAAATGTTTTACTGAATTCATTTTATAAACGTTTAAAATATTAAACATAGGGGGTGTCGCCGCGTCAAAACTAAACGTCGTATTTTAAAGTGTATATTGTTAGAATAAAAAAGAGAAATACATTTAAAAAAGGCATTTGAAAAAGCGTCTAATCGCCCAAAAATTTAAAAAAGACAAAATTGACCTTTTCGATTTTATTCTTTAGTTGAAATTAAAATGGCGACATTGTTTTTTTTTATCATAAACGTTGTTGTTTATTTCTGATGTATTGAAGAAAGGAAATGTCGAAATGGAATAAAACGCCGACTGTGTTTCAATGCGTTTTTCCTTCAAAATCGGGAAATCACAATTGGAATCAGTTACGATGGTAAATCAGACTAGCAGAGGAAATAATGACAAAACTAGACTTGTTCATAGATGGTGTCAGAGATTTTTGGCGGGCCATGGGTAATTAATTGATCAGCTGAGGACAGAAAGACCGAAAGATACGAGATCGTGTGGAACGTTCAATGGCTCGCTAACGTTGTCAAAAAGAGATTCGTGTCACGCGGTTTGAGTGATACATTGTATGAAAAACTTTTAAGTTTGTCTGATGGTACTGTTCAAAGAATTTTGATGAAGGACTAAATTACTGGTAGAGTGTATAATTGGTGACAATAATTCTTAAAGAAAGTAAAATGTGTGAATGTGTTATCGAATATTAGTTTTTTAATGAAACGACGGGGAAGTGTTTTTAAAACTGTGTGACGGCGCATATCCGTCATATGACGTTATTGAGATGCGGCGACTACCATAATTGCACTTTGTATATAATTCGATATTTTGAAAAGTATAAATCATTTCAATTTGAATTTTTCAGGACTGATTTGAAATAAATGTAGCTTCCATCACGTATAATTTTATTAGTTTACGTCGACTAGAAGCAATTTTATCGAAGGTGTGACATTACTTTTGGATCAATCCTCGTATAATATCGATCAGTTTAGAATTTCATGCCGATAAATAGGAGGGGGAAGCAAATTCTAATTGTATAAGAAAATTACTTAAGCCTCCAAAATAGGTCTTGAAAACTTCCTCATATGCGTGTTAAAAGCATTTCTGGGTAATGATATTTTTTTTTTATTTAATCAAAAGGAAAAGAAATAGGTGCAGTCTTTGTAAGGTAAAAATCACAAAGAATTATCACAACCTTACGGGAGGTTTTTATTAAATATATATGGAATTTTATAATGATACGATCATTACATACATTTACTTTATTTAATAATTGTTGACTGGGTTACAGAACAGTTTAGATAAAAGACGATAGCTGAGGTGACCTCGAACTCAATATTTATTCTGGAAATATTATACTCTTGGACATATCTAATAACAAATTTAATTCAAGCGAATACAAAAAACAAGATTCTAATTCTTAAAAAAAAACACACACACACACAAAAATCAAAATGTGATTTTTCAGATTTCTACAAATTTGCTTCTTCATAAAAATCACCTGGCTTGGTATACATGTATCTTTTAAAATTTTACATCACACTTTTTGCATATATTATGATTTTTTCTGTATCTGTAAACCTTTACTGAGTGTGATTTGTCCATTTCTGTTTTTTGTCGAAGCATCAACTAATATTTTCCAATTGTCATTTCTTTTATGAATAAAAAAAATACAGCAAGTTATTGAGTAAATGTAATTCTCATGTTTATATGTTATCTTTCATACTTCTCATATTAAACTTTGTGATATGACCTTTCATTTGATATCAACAACATTAACTCTTTGGCCTTGACCTTGGAGTTTGACCTCCTTGACAAAAAAAATAAATAAATTCTTGATTATAACTTTTAATGTCATTCCTTTAGATACCAACAACTTTCACACTTTGACATTGACTTTGGAGTTTGACCTACTTTTAAAAATATTAAACTTGGTCATAACTTTTGAACAGTAAGGGATAGGGCTTTCTTACTTCAAGTACTAGTTTGTAATCCTTTTGACTAGACCAACAACCTTGAACCCTTGACCTTGAAGTTTGACCAACTTGTTAAAACTGTAACCTTGAACGTAGATTTTGAACATACTTTTGGTAACAACATATTTATTTGAATTTCGGAAAATTTAACCATTCTTATACATTGCCATACGGGGGTCATAAATATTTCACATTTATGTCTTGTTTAATCAGAAAAAAAGTTTTGAAATATAAATGTTTTCTGTTATTTGATATCGTGACGTTACATCTTTGATGTGTTTGATGTGTTTGATGTATAAACATGACAGTTTATTCGATCTGCCTACAGAAAAAAACATATCAAAAAATGAATTTAAAGATTTTAAAAGATTTATAAGATTGAAAGAAACTTTGACGGATTAATGAAAAGTTAATAGATAAAATTAAAACATTTACTTTAAGTGTCACGATCAACATTAACAGGTAAAGAATCATTTTGTTTTGAAATTTTATTTTATATTAAACGGTTTGAAGAAGGAAAACTTTCTGATGGCAAACCAACAACTGCTGATGATCTTTCTATTTTCCTTGTTAGCCGGAGTTATAATTTTGGTCAGTAGTTCTGCATTTAAAGTTTATACAGCTATTAATTAGTGGATTGATTGAAATACAATTAATTCATCTAAAATTTCCAGCTGATTGATGAAGTTACCTCTACTTGCGATGTTTAAAAGCCGGAGGAATTTTAGATTTACTTTTCAGTTTGCAACTACTTTATTGATACAACGAAGCTTTGACTTGTGGAAACCCACGAAAAATCACGAAAACCAGTATACTATCTTTAATAGATTATTGAAATTAAAAGTGATTCCACCAGAAACCTGTTCATACGATGGGGTCAAAGATTTTACATATGATGTAATGCTGAAGGGAGTTATTTTTCACAGCCTTCTAGTTTTCTTTCTTGGTGTCCTGTTGGTTTTCATTATATGCTTACCAAAATGTCGCCGAGGAGTAATTGACCTTCTAACCGAATGTACTTTTAAATTACGTTTAAATTTTATATCATTTCAATAAAAAAAAAAAAAAAAAGTAATACAATTTAACGAGGCCCAATCTAGTTGGATATTACGAAAACGGAATGATAAAAAATTTTGATTCTTGGAAATAAATATGTATGCATTATGCTGAGAGCAAATAGAATGAAATTTTGTTACCTTGCCTTTATTGTAGTGAAATGGGGGCACTGTCAAGATATGGATCATTTTTCGTGTTTTTATACACAATTACATACTCAAACTCTTCAATAAACAAAGAAATTTACAAATAAAAAAAGAAATACATGATAAAATTCTTTGTTTTTCACATATATCATGCAATTTTCATTCTTCTTATGAAAAATGAAAAGAAAATTGGAAGTAGCCTTTATTGCAGTGAAAAGGGGGCATGTCAAAACACAAAATTTGGATTTATTCTACCCAACTACGTATTTTATAGGTCGCAATGGGTTTACATAACACCAACAAACGATTGCAATACTATATTAATTTCTAAAAAATAAAGAATTCTTACATTATGAAATAATTTTCTCGCCATGCTTTATTTTGCTCTTAACACGCGACGTTGTTTTACGTGGAAAAAAGGGGTAGCGGGGGGGGGGGGGGGGGGGGTAAAGGCGACAAAATTGCGATTTTTACTAATATCATGTAATATATAGAAAAATAAAATATTTCGGGGGTTCAATTTAAATGATTTATAGACTTATTTTATTTTTTAAAACTGAAGATAATCCATGCATATTTCAATCCGCAATAAAAAGAGTGCGTATAAACACTTCAAAATGTTCAAGGGAAAGAATAAAATCGTTTACTTTTAGTTCAAATGTTTGTTTTTTTAACTCACAAATTGAAATAAAACGGGATAAAGTTAATGAATCTGTATCAAAAAATTGATCCCTCAAAATTAATTAGGTTCCAAAGTTGTTTATCAATTTAAACATTTGAAAAAAAATAATAGAAATGCCAGATTTCAATGCATAGTCTATAGAGCAACCATGTAAGCAAGATCAGCGAAACATTTTAGCGCAATTTGACGTCATATCAATTGTGACGTTATTATATTCAATTGTGACGGCAGTCCAGGGTACTGTGACGTGCCTGAGTCGACGCTGCGTTAAAACGTATGCGCAGATCAACTAGATCGGGCCTCGTTAAAGTTTATAAAATTGAATGATATGGTTTAAATAAAAAACAGGTTTTTCTTCCTTTGGGTGTTGCTGTGGGAGTAGCAATTCTTACTTGGTTCATGGCTATGGACTTTGAAAAATTATATGATTTCCAATACAAGAACGAGATTATGGTAAAATATTGAAGAATTTTAAATAAAAGATATGAACAATTTGTATTCTTTTTCTCCTTTTAGTCACTTTTTTTGTTCATACATTTTATAGTTTTATTTCTTTTAATTAGAATTGGAAATCTTTACAATCCGATATGAGTTCATCTCTTTTGAAGAATTTTGTAAGTGATTACATAGGTGGGAATGAAATATCAAACCAATGGAATTTCCTGTTCATAGACGTAAGTACGAAAAGGGAAGAGACTAATCCCGTGTGTAGAAGTTCCAAGTTGCATTTGGAATTTCCAAGTAAATCATTTGGAATTTCCGAGTCACCATTCGGAGTATTGGAACAACTTTCCAAATGGTTCCAAATGACTTCCATGTTGTTTCCGAATGACTAAAACTCAAATTATTTCTTCTAGAAATTTCCAGATGACTTCCAAGTTGCTTCCAAATGACTAAACTGATTTATTCAACAAATTAATGCAAGGTTTTCATTGGCTTATTTAAACATGTTATTTAGATAACAAACAACCAGCGATTTGAAAATATATTCATATATATTTATTCAAAGTATTTAGAAGAAAACAAACCTCCCCGGTAAACTACTATCCTGTAAAAACTGTTTTATGAAGTAACATATCAACTGATCATATGCAAATTCAAATCAAAATTAAAAGTCAATACAGGTAAATCAAGGTTTTTGCTTGGCTTATGAACTTACAGAGATGATCGAGACCATGTATCGAGGCAGTAAATAATTCCAAAAATTTTGAAATGCACTTTTCACTCAGTATAAGTAAATTTAATTTGAAACTGTCCACTGATGTTATTGTCTTTCCAAGGGAAAATGAAGAAGATAAATGTACCACTGGAGGAGTCACACACATAAAAATGTAAAATACATCCTTTGGATTTATACTACACAAAAGATTTATCATCCATTCAACGTGATCATGCAACTCGGATGCAACACTGTTTAGGTTTTAACCGCTTGATTTCAAAATCTATATGAGATCGAGCCCGAGACAAGACCTAGAGCCCGATCAGTTGATAACAATAACACCTGCTCATTAAATATACAGACTAAGTTAAATTTCTGAACTTCCAAATGGTTCCATGTAGATTCCAAATTGAGTTAATTTTTTTTGCAAATTAAATTTTTCCGAATGACATGGAAGTACTTTGAATTCCGAATGCTTCCAAGTACTTCCAAGTAATTCCAGGTTACTTCCGAATGAAACTCGACGGGGAGTTGGAACTTCTACACACGGGTTTTTGTATAAGGAAGTAAAAGATTAAAACCAATTACAGTAAATGAAACATATGGAGATAACGGACAGTAGGGAGACAATTGCAAATTCGTAAAGAATTTATGGCATCTTTAGAAAATCTTTTTCTCAAGGACAACTGTGCTAGAAAATATGTAATTTGAAATTTATGTGGAAGAATCCTTGGTTAGTATAGATTCAAGTTTGTTCAAATCATGACGGGCGAAGCCCTCGGGGAATATGATTTTCTTGGCTGAATAAATCTTCATATTTCCCTTACTATCATGAAATAAATGTAGAGTATTTCTCACAAACGATGAACAGAACGTCCAAATGATTCATTAGTTATTTTGACACAAATAGATTGTATCAATCCCTTTCCTTGAAAACAAATAGACTGATCCAGTAGTGCAGAAATGCAGAAACAAAGGTCACAAGGGCAGGGCTTTTTGTGAATAGCATTGAAAAAAAAACAAGAGCATGCAAGATGGAAAAAGGAAGTAAACATTCCAACATGTTTTATAAATATATCGTTGTTTCTTATACTTTCTTTTGTTTTTTAAAGAGAGGTTATAAATTCCGATTGCGCAACAACAAGCAAGTTAGTTTTATCCAATCTAATCTTCGCACTTTGGAAATATGATCTTTATACTTCCTGACGCTTGTGTTGTCAAGATATATTGTATGATTACATTTACATTGAGGAACAACTTTTATTATAGTACAAGTGTTGCGGTGTAGATACAGTTTACGGGACTACTTATGATTTTGACACGACTCCGTGGTATACAACTCATGGTTCCTGTCAGCTGACAAATTCTCAGATTCCAAAGTTCTGCTGTCTTGGAGTCTCCAAGGAAAATTTTCGTTCTGCTGATGTGAAATGTCATGCTCAAGTCAGCCCACAACAATATAATGATAAGGTAGCTTATAAACACGCTAAATATAACACACATGAAGTTCACCGAAAAAGAAGGCGAAACGATATTTTATTTAAGCCTTCAAAATAGAAAAATGTTAAAATATGAATTTATGGCAATATTTTTTAATTTGTTAGAAACGCAATTAAAAAGGTTTTTGACAAAAAATAAACAAATTGTATAATAGTTTTCATTTTTTATGTACCAGGACGTTTGTAATATTTGTATCTGCATTCAATCTTTTATATAGGGATTTTATTATTAGCAATAGCAGAGGAGATAGAAAAAATAAGCATAATTCAAATATTAAGGATGTTCTGAAGGAGGAAATGAAAGTTTTCATGGCGATGGTACATGTAGTAAAGAGGTTTAAAAATATAAGGGCAATAAATGTTATTTTCTTTTATTTTTTATCAATCTACTTAAACACGACTGTTATTCAAGTGTTCATTGTTATTTCAATTTCATATATTTCAAACAGGATTTTCAAATTTTTTTAAGTTCAGGATATATATTTTAAAAGACGACTATTTATTATGCAAATATTGTTATGTACGATTAAACTGATTAAAAACAAAGATCAATAGGAATAGCAGAACTGTTGCCAGCGAGCATTAATATTTATGTTTAAGAATAAAGACGGAATGAATAATTAAATAACAAGAGTACATCTCTCTAACATAAAAAGATACAGTTGGAATTTCTTGTCCATGAAGATGTTCTAAAATATGAGCTGGATAAAAAAAAAAAGTATTTTTTGTAATGTTTTGCTTTTGCTTTCTTTTTTTTCAGGGAGTATGCATCATTCTGCCAGGGTTTGGATTTTTCGCTATTGGTTGTGGCTTAATTAAAAAGAAAGTGCTGCAAATCGAGTTCACAGAAAAAGGTCAAATCAGAAAATGGAAATATTCAGAAAGAGAGCGCAAACCCATAGTGACAGTCCAAACAAACAAAGTTGTCACATTTTGCGAACATTACTATTTAATATTACTGTTTATCATTAGTAATTCTGCATATACGAGGGTTGTTGGAAAAGTTCGTGGACTCCTTTCATATCTTTTTTATTCAACATTATATGCTAACCAAATTTGGTGGCAATATTTTACAATATAGCCAAATGATTTGTATTGCCTAATTTTAATTCATCATGATTTATTTCAAACCTATCCAGAATTTTAATCTATAACAATCGGACCGCGGAGCAGGTCAAAATTTAGTAATTCACAAACAATGCATGAAATAAATATGACAATGTCTGTAGTCATATTCTCTGTAAAATGGCGCGAAAACAAAAAAAAAAAGATCCTAGAATTTATAAATAATAACTGTTGTATGGATTCATATTACAAATTATGGCTTAATATTTTGATTCGTTGAAAAGAAATCGATTTAGGAAGATAGTCCTTATTGAAAGCGACAAAAATAATGGCGTTGTTGAACGTCATGGGGCAGAATATATCTATTCAATTTTGTGTTATACTAGGGAAAAATTATGAAACAACTCAAAAAATATCAAAGGAATCAAAATATGTCACAATTAAGTCGTGCATGTGTTTATGAATGGTATTTGAGTGACAAAGACTCTGTATCGGACGAGGACAATCTGTGAAGAAACGGTTTATTTGATCACATCTTTTCAAAAACTTTAGAAATTTGCAAAGTCGTAAGATGATATAAAGGCGCCTCTGAGTTGATTATCTTGTGAAAGAACAGCTAAGTAGTAAAAAAAATAAAAAATTGACAAAAGAAATTATGCAACGAGAACTATTGTTTAGATAAATGGATTTCAATTGATAGAAAAAGTTTTTAATATGAATAGGGATAGTATATTTACAAAATTGTTGACGCTGTGTTTTTAGACGTAACATTGCCGTTAAGCATGCTCCGCGGGTACAAAAAATGTTGACTTTAAAATGAAATAAATTGATTTCTAATAAATCGAATGAAATAAAACTTCACACATCTACAAAGCAAATATTATTACACATGATACTGAGCTTATTTTAAATTTCTTGAAATAAGTAAAACGAAGATTTACACGAACTTTTCGAAGTTAACATTATTAAGTTTAAAAAGATGAAAAAAGAATTTAAACATAACTATTCAAGATTGAATACCGTTCCTTATTATCATATTTTGATTGACAAAGAACAACAGAAAAAAGAATTTAAAAAACAACTTTTAAAGGGTTTCATTGAAATCCGCTCATATATATATATATATTTTTTTTTTTATATAAATTTTATTTAGGTTAAAATTCGAGGCAATCGCAGAGATAATGCAGTATTCCTTATAATCAAAATGTGTCGGAACTATTGAAACTATTCAAAACGCGTCAAATTTATTCATTTATGTTCAAAAATTATTGAAATCGTTGTAGATTAGATATAATTCGTCATGGAAAAGGGGGCCCTAGATATCAGAACTTTAATGTCACATTCTTTCAAATACTTTGTAAGATGTTTGTGTATTATAGAATATATCAAGATAGCGAAAAATACTTATGTTCAAATATAAAGACCATAAACAATACAGATTTTGGAGCAGAGCTAACACGGAATTAAATATCAGAGGTGGGATCATGTATCATTGAGGAGTTAGCATCCCTTGCCGACCGGTCACAACCGCCGAGTGTACTATGTAATTATTGGGTGGATGGACTTTACTTGTAATAATATTTTGAGTGTGCCAAAACAATGTGACAACATTGGCTCTGAATGTTAGAATTTGCATATATTATTACATATCATGAATTAGTTACCCTTCATCTTAAATTTGCGTGTATTTCTTGAGTTAACTGTAATTATCTTACATTATTGTAGAAGTTCTACATATGTGGATAAGCCGTAATACTATGAATCATTTGCTGCCATGTAACTTGTTTACAGTCTGTCTGCCATCTTTATATCGGCGCATGTTATGTACATTAGTAACGTATTTTACCTATTGGCTAACTTGTCATTCATATTATATCATAGGCATAATCACTTGCTATTAATAATGTTGATTATTATTGTGGGTTATACTATTCATTTTAGCAATTATTATTCCCGATTACGTGTGTCTACAACTTGCACTATACATTTAATCCATCTGCGATAACGTCTGCATACTCAGCAAGTTTACTTATGTGAAATTTACAAGTTTCAGATATAATTTGTTTACTTACTTATTATAGGCACATCTTTTGTGATCCATATTTATCTTTTCACATGTTAATTCCCAGGTTTGTGTATAATCCATATTGTACGACAACTTTTTTTGATAGTACGACACGATTTTTATTTTTAATGACGTCGTACATTGTTGTGATTGGTTGAACGTCGCCATACAACATTTATATTGGTTGAATCTTGTCATGTAACCCTTTTCCGAAGGTTATATATAGGGACCGATTGCATTAAGTTAACAGATAATTTGCCAACTTGTCAGGAGCGAATATTCAAATAGAGATAAATCCAAGATCCGCTCAGCCTTGCAATTGTAATTTCGGGTGAGAAAGTTATCGACAATTAACTAGCAAACACACTTGACACCTATTTAATTGTTAATAATTGTGGGGATCATCCTAGTATACCCATTGTACACCCCCGTTTAAAAAAGTAGCTTGTAAGATAGATTCCACCAAAATTTATTATTGTACCTGTTGAAATGAGAACTGTTTTATGATTAATAAATATTGAAAGCAAGACCAATCTTATGTTTTGCCTATAACCGGAGGACCTAAGATTTTAGTACAAGAGTATTACCAGCTATTATTTTGAAGCGTCCCCGACTTAAGCTTAGCCATTCTCGGGGAGCTTACAAACTGGTAATTCAAAGATATTCTAATTGTTTAGAATATTAAAACGATATTTAGAACTGTATGATTTGAAGACTTTCTTTTTTAGAAAGGGTGCTGTTAGTATATAATCAATTACCACTTGTAGAATTAAATCCAATTTTCTCTAATGTACATTTTATATATTGAGCCTTACAAACAAAGACAATGTTGTTACCTGCTTTATCAGCAGTGTTACAACGCACTTTGAAAAATTACGCAGTTTGAAAAAAAATTTCAAATTGCGGTAAAATTTGGGACCAAGCTAACGCACTTTGAAGTTGTTTTTTTTTCAAAGTGCGTTAATATCAACCATATTAACGTACTTTGAAAAAAATGTAAAGATTGATCAATATTCCTTCAAATAATCGGTATGATAAATAACAGATCCTGGTTTGATAACTTTTTAGCTCACCTGAGCCGAAGGCTCAAGTGAGCTTTTCTGATCACATTTTGTCCGTCGTCCGTCTGTCCGTCTGTAAACTTTTCACATTTTCGACTTCTTCTCAAAAACCACTGGGCCAATTTTGACCAAACTTGGTACAAAGCATCTTTGGGTAAAGGGAAATTTAAATTATCAAAATAAAGGGCCAAGTCTCCTCACAAGGGGAGATAATCAAGAAAAGACAAAAATAGGGTGGGGTCATTAAAAAATATTCTTCTCAAGAACCACTGGGCCAGAAAAGCTGAAACTTATGTGGAAGCATCCTGGGGTAGTGTATATTCTAAATTGTTCAAATCATGACCCCCAGGGTAAGGGCGGGGCCACAATTAGGAATCAAAGTTTAACATAGAAATATATAGGAAAAATCTTTGAAAACCTTCTTCTCAAGAACCATTGGGCCAGAAAAGCTGAAACTTATGTGGAAGCATCCTGGGGTAGTTTAGATTCTAAATTGTTCAAATCAAGACCCCCGGGGTAAGGGCGGGGCCACAATCGAGAATCAAAGTTTAACATAGAAATATATAGGAAAAATCTTTGAAAATCTTCTCAAGAACCACTGGGCCAGAAAAGCTGAAACTTATGTGGAAGAATCCTGGTATAGTGTAGATTCTAAATTGTTCAAATCATGACCCCCGGGGTAAGGGCGGTTTCACAATGCGGAATCAAAGTTTTAATTTGAAATATATAGGAAAAATCTTTGAAAATCTTCTTCTCAAGAACCACTGGGCCAGAAAAGCTGAAACTTATGTGGAAGTATCCTTGGGTAGTTTAGATTCAAAATTATTCAAATCATGACTCCCGGGGGAAGGGCGGGGCCACAATTAGTAATCAGTTAGTAATAAGTTTTGCATAGAAAATAAGAGGAAAAATCTTTGAAAATCTTCTTCTCAAGAACTACTTGGCCAGAAAAGCTGAAACTTATGTCTACATGGAAGGAATATGGGGTAGTGTAGATTTCAAAATGTTTAAATTATGATCAGTGGGGTAGGATGGGGATGCATTATGTATTACAAGGGGGAAATCTGGTAAACAACAGATGATCAAAGCTTCTCAGGTAAGCGATGTGGCCCATGGGCCTCTTGTTTTATGATAGTCAATATAGGACCTGAGATATTGACGTTTTAAATATTTAAGGTTTTGATAAAATAAAAGGGAAAATTAAAGGGTCTTGAAAAAAAGAGTGACGATGGTTTAAGTTCATTAATTCGTTTCTTCTTTTTTTTTTAATTCTAGTCTTTGATAAGTAGATGTAAAGGTGTATAGGGGGCACTAATAAAGGACAGCTTCAAGCAACTTAGCATTTATCATAACAAAAAGGGGCCAATTTGATGGTTTAAAACTATGAAAATTCTTTTTCTCTCATACGTTTTACTGTACTTAAAAATTTCTAGTTTTCATCTGTTTAAATTAACTCATTTATTATTGAAATTTTTCAACGTCATACCAGTTAGGTAAATACATAATTATTTGAATGCTTTGAGTATAGCATAGACATCGAGACTGGGCGAAGGGCCAGGATGGGGATGGGGGGCTAAGCCCCCCCCCCCTACTTATTTTGCAAACATATATACATCGTATAAGCATTGAAAATGCAGCGTACCTTTTTTAGAATTATTGCTCCCCTCTCCCGTTTGTTACCGACACCTATGTATTGGAAAGATACAGATTTGGATTGAGGGATCTTATACCCGTCTTCTCCTCTTTTCGACGGGAGTTAATCGATTCATTTTTGAGGTTAGGGTTGGGCTTAGATTTTTGAAAGATAAATAACAAATAAAATCTTTCCATGACTAAAATATGATTTTTTTTTCAAAGTGCGTTAAGTGTCTCCATGGTAAAATATATTGGTGTAGACTCTTAACGCACTTTGAAAAAATTTTTCAAAGTGCGTTGAGTTGGTCCCAAATTTAACGCACTTTGAAAAATTTTTTTCAATGTGCGTTGATTTTGTCCCAATTTTAACGCACTTTGAAAATTTTTTTCAAAGTGCGTAATTTTTTCAAAGTGCGTTGCCACACAGCAGGGACCAGTGCGTACTGATCAAGTAATCTATCTTATTCTTTTTTCACTTATGGATTGTTGAATTCAGAAAGATAGATGGTTTTTATATTGCCCATTTTTAATCCATTTAAACGTGATTTTAACATAAATCTGATACATTTAATTTATTTAATACATTTAATTATCACAAAGTGTAACCGTCGCCCTTTTAATTTTTCAGTATATAATTAAGGACCCACCCTGAAACCAGACCCCTTACTGTTCAACTGACCTAGGGGTTTGAAATTCAGAATTCTGCAAAAAGACCACTTTCTGAACATAGATATGTAGGGTTTTTAGCTGGTCAAAACCTAGAAGCAGAGGAGAAAATTTCAAAGAATTATTCCATTCTCACCATAAAGTTTATACGGGCCTGGCTTTTCACCCAATCTCCTAATACTGGGGATATAAAATTCATAATTTTAGAGAAGGCACCCGTCCATGTCTTAGCTATACATGTAGTAAGGCTGTTAATTACCCAAGGACAGAGAGGATTGTTAAAAGAATTAATGCATTTTCACTAAATCATCTGTAAAGCTAGACTCACCCTTACACCAGAACCCCTGACCCTGGGGATGTGAAATTCTTAATTTTCGAAGAGGTATCCTTGCTTATTATAACTTTGTATATGGTAAGTTTGTTTATGCCCCGGAGCAGAGAAGAAGATTTTTAAAATATTGATGCTTTGCTACTTAACATTTATAATCATTAGATCCCTGACCTTTGGGCCAGGAAATTAAGTATTTTAGAGGAGGCATCTCTGTTCATATTAAAATGCACAATTCTGAAAAGACACCCTTCCTTTTTCTAACTATATATGAACTTTGGTTAATACCCTGAAGCAGAGACGAAAATTTTTAAAGAATTAATACATTTTCAATTTATAATCAATAAAGTCCCAACCCAGCCCCTCACTTGGGGCCAGGTAATTCACAATTTTAGTAGAGACATACTTGCTCATTATAACTTTGTATTAGTAAGTTTGTTAAATACCCAAAAGCAGTTAGAAGATTTCTAAAATATTACTTCATTGTCACTATTTAATCAATAGAGCCCAGTCTTAACACAAAGTCCCTGACCTAGGGGACATGAAATTCACAATTTTAGAAGAGCCACCCTCTCTCATTTTAAACATATAAATGCATTGTCACTATTTAATCAGTAGATCCCAGTCTTAGACACAGTCTAAATCCCTGACCCTTGGACCAGGGAATTCTTAATTTTAGAGGAGACATCCTTGCTCATTATAGTATGTATGTAGTAAGTTTGTTTAATACCCATGAGCAGAGAAGAAGATTTTCAAAGAAAATCCCCGCCCTAGCACTAGAGCCACTGACCCTGGGGCCATAAATATCTCAATTGAAGTAGAAGACTCAATGATTATTACATCCATGCTACCAGTTTGACTGCTTGATGTCCAAAAGTAAAGGTGATTTTTAAAGATTGAAAAAGGATATGGAGATAACGAACAGTATTCAATCTCAAACTCGATAAAACAATTCAAAATAAGAGCAGAGAAAACTCGAGCCTCCGAAACATCAGAGGTGTGATCAGGTGCGATAGAGGAGTAAGCATCCCCTGCTGACAGGTCACACCCGCCGTTTGTTCCTTGTCATGATCAAGAAATAATTAATTTTAGTGGTTTTTGTCCTATCCTTTAGGCTCCAGGGGGCAGAGACCATAAAAATCATATTTTTTTGTCCCCATTGGCCCATAGATGCATTATACAAAAATAAGATGATATTATTTGAGTGATTGCAGAGAAGAAGCTAAAATTTTTTAAATGTTAACACACGAAATGGATAGCAATAGATCATCTGAGTTTACTCAGGTCAAACGATTGTTGCCAAGGTAATGGTGCAAACATAACAATGAACTACAAAAAATTACTCCAACCAGAAGCAATCTTTAGCTTTTTTTTTATTAAGCCTGAAAATAATATAAAATGTTTTATAAATCGATGAGGAATTTATTTTCATAAATAACAAAAGTAGAATTTTAAAAGTCATTGCAATCATAATTATTTGTTTTTATTTTAAAATAAGAAATTTTTTTTTTTATTTGGGATACTATTTCACATAAAAACACTTCATTGATTTTATATTACAGATCCAATAATCTATGCCTATCTGTACGTTAATGATATGTGGTAATCACAGATTGTCATTTGTTAAAATATGTCTATTTCAAGACAATATCATTAAATGGCACTTTCCTTTCCGGTTTGACAGCAAATCATAAAAGCAAAGATGACAGCCAGTAGCTACAATAGATAATATTATTCTAATAATGATTATCTCTTCTTTAAATATTTGAATTTGACATTCATTTCATTTCTGAATTGTTTTTAAACGATCTTACCTCAATGAAAAGAACTGTTATTCCAACTCCTGCAAACACATTTCCATAAGTTGAAATGTCATCTTTTATAGCATCGTAGCATCCCTGCCAAAAAAGCATGAAAAGAATACGTCAAACATATATGAGTACCAGCAAAGAAAATACGGAGTAAATGTCTACTATATGGAAAATTTAGACCTTTCTTTTATTGAGCATATTAGTTTATAAATATAGATAGCGTAGCTGAGAAATGATACACCAGTATTAAACAAAGTGAAAATATAATCTTTTACGTGTTTTTATCTGTTACTTGAACAATGATATGTAGAAAGGAAACCATTACCTTATCATTATAGCCTGAGGAACATGCAGGTCGTAAATAATTTGTAGAATCTACATTTTTGCAACATGTTCTTGGTGTTGAAGTCGATGAACCTGGATGAGTCCATGAGAAACCAAGAAAATCACTCGAGTTGTTCACACCACAACAATCTAACTGTAAAAACATTTTATATGGAAATAAGTTCAGTGACATTTGAAAAGTTTCATTTTGATAAATAACCTTTGCGCAATTTTTGAGTTTGAGATCTTAATTTATTAAAATCTGTTGCATAAGTTGCATTTCTTAACCACATCTATATTCTGAGTTAAAGTCACCGAGCGCTGGTCTGCTCCAGCATAATATTTTGATATATAACATTGAATTATCGTTCGTTATCTCCATATGTTTCATGTAAATATTTTTCTTGAGCAGACCTGCTCTCTATAAGTTTTATAGTAAAAACTGAACAAAATCTGTCTATTTTTTCCTCTCTCTAAAATAATACATATTCCAAAATAGTTTGGGACGTCATAAAAACAAAAATTGTCAATACCCTAGGCCTGCTTTGAAACTAAAACATATTTGGTTAACATATGTATACCTTTCCAATTCCAACTGCAGTTTGAAGTATGCACAGTCATACAATGATCTTTCAAAAGTACGGTGGTAGAAAAAAAGTTTTTTGATGGCGGGGTAGAGAGATACATGGGTTACGAAGTTTAATCATTGTTATCAATTGTAAAATATTTACAAAAATAAATATATTAATTCAATTAAGTGTTAATTAATGCTTATCTTTACAAATAATGAAAACCTTTTTTTCCTTCAAAATACATTATATGATTTCATCGCAGTAATATATTACATGCTTTGGTTGAAAACTCACGGACATAAACATGTAATTCCAGGCATTAGACACAACGCTGGAGCTGTTAATCAGGTCGGTCTTGTAATTATCTTTAAGGGATTTCAGCAAGCTAAACTTAACAGTCTTATCTACCTGAAAAATGATGAGAATGTTAAATTCAAATATGGAAATGTTTTAATAAAAATTTGTTAAAAATGATATCATAAAATAACGAATTATAGTATTTAAGCTCAAAGTCCGGGAATATATGCACTTATTGATGTGCATGAAAATGTTATTAGCAGAACTGGTAGAATAAGTATATATATGTATATAGTATAAATCAGATATCAAATGAAATCATAAAGAGAATACATATTGGTGTGGAAAAAAATTTCCATCAAGACACAGTTTCAAGAAACCTTGGGTAATTGCTGATATGCAAGCTACATGGAAATAGTCTTTAAACAAAAATATATCTTTATAAGTTTATATGCAGTGGTGTTGCAAAGAATCTATCCTTTTTCTATTCCCTGCAATAATTTATTTCCTTGACCTTATACCAGCGTTGATAGATAACTAAATAGAGAACATTAAAGATGAATTAAATAAAAAAAAATATTGGTTGACAAACAAATCAATTGACTGAATGACTGTATTATGAAGTAAGGTGTAGGCGCTTACCTCACCCTTCATCGTAAACCAAAGGGCAACTGCTGTTACTTTAATGATAAAAAGCACCAGAACTAAAATGGCGTACTGTAAGAAAAATAATTAAATTCTTTATGTGAACTCTGTACATTATCCCCATGAGAGTCCATATTATCAAGAAAATGATTTACATATTCATCTATTTTATGACTAATTCAAAAAATGCTAATTAAATGAAAACGTACAACCACCAGCATGCATTTGACCTCACAACAGGCTCCAAATAATCCGAGACCAGCGACAAGAAGAACAAAGACCCCCATTACAATGAAAAGGATGGACAGGTTGTCAACAAGGTCTCCTAGTTTAAAACTGGACACAGTTATTCCATTTAGTGCAGGTTTCACTTCGTCATTTATGGCAGATACATTGACCTTCATCAGAATACCACCGATCAACAAACCCAATCCTAGGATCTGTAATAACAGTTAAAAGTCTGAAATTAAAAATCGTCATTCAATATAAGAATGCAAAAAAAAAAAAAAAAAAAAAAAAAACATTTTCATATACAATTTAGTCGTCCAACGTTTAAACGGGCGTTTATTATTTTTTGTCCCAATCATATTGCAACAACAAAGGAATTATGAGTTATTTATTTCATTCCTTCTTACTAATCTCCCGTATATTGAATACAGAGATAAAGTCGTTTAATTCAGTCAAAAAAAAATGTCATAAGTTTTTTTGTGGTAAACCCCTTAATTACTAAAAAACACTAGTCCCAGTGATTACCGTGATTCAAAACGCCTTCCAGAGAGATCTTGTTTGTTTTGGAAATAAGAAATAGTCACAAGGAGAAAGATCAGGTGAATATGCAGAATGCGGAAGTTCAATAACTTTTTGACGCTGTAGATATTCTCGAGTAACGTTTGCTTTATGGACAGGTACATTGTCATGTAAGAGTTTAATACCTCTCAAACCAGTATCTGGTTGTCTGTTTTGTAAATTTTATACAGCCTCAGAAGTAAACTTATGGAATACTTATTTTCAGTGCTACTTCTTCCCTGTGGGACTGCGTATTGAACTACAAAACCATTTGATTTGATAAAGCATTTATATAGAGCTTTTTGAGTTCTTTTTGCAATTGTTGGCCTTTTCATATTCTTTCCAATCCAAACTTGATTTTTTACTTTTCTTTCTGGCTTAAAAAGGGGAACCACGTTTCCTCACCTGTGACCAATATGACAAAGCTTCCTAGTGTCCATATCTCTAAACATTTTCAGATGTTTTTGGCATTTTTGTAAGTGACCCCTCTTCTAAGCTTTGGTGAGTATATATGGAATCCACCTTGCACAGATTTACGGTACTTTGATTTTAATTTAAAAATTGTAAAAACACTGCCCCTTAGAATTCTCATACATATTGCTATTTCTTTGATGGTAAGCCATGCGTCTTTCTTTATAAAATCACGGATTTTGGAAACTTCTATTTGGGACTGCTCTTGGTGGACTCCCTGAATGTTTGTCATCGGAGACATCTGTTCTACCACTCTTAAACTTGCTAACACATCGGTTAACTGTCTTTTTCGAAAAGAAAAACAGACCTTTACCATATATCCGAACAATTTCTTCATAATTATATTTCATTTTGTTCTACACCAATGACACAACGAGCAAGAATATACATTCTTATATCATGTGATTCCATACTTTGTGTTTTATCCAGAAATTATGTTCAGTGTATCCCCGTAGGTCAATTAAAAATGTAAGTGTGTGTTTGAGAGTGCAAGGACGTGTTCCAAATTCGGACACAATCTCAACAAAAGATATATTTATATTCATGGATGTCCAAATCTCGAATCGAGTGATCTACTTTATGATACATAAGGGACAAAATATATTGACCAACCCTCGTACAGTGGAGTTAGATATCCAAGAGAAAGAGAACACTTACATGTAGCTAACTATGAATGAAACAAGTCATATTGCTCACAGTTATTTTTTCAAAGGACTTTATTCGGTAATAACCAATATTTGCCCCCCCCCCACATCAAAGTTTGATGGAGAAATATAAAATTATGTTTTTAAATAGGGGGATATATCCTGACTTTTAAGCACTGAATATTTTCATAAGCAATGATGTCATATGTTTGAAATGACGTCACGAAAATGACGTCTATTTAAAATTTCCACGATTCCTACTGAAAATGTATAGATATTACGTCGATATTGTGAGTAAAATCTACCGAGCGCACGTCTGATCAGGCTCAATATTTTGATATAATGTATAGAATTATAATATTAATGAAATATGTAAATATTTTTCCTGAGCAAACTTGCGCTCTATAAATTTTATAGCTAAAAGTGTTGAAATTTTGTACATTTTGTCCTCTTTCTAACAGATGAAATAAAATCGGACTAGTTTGTTATGTCATAAAAACAAAAATTGTCAATAAAGTACTTCGAAACTATAATATTTTCTTTTAATTTATATTTCTCATACAATTTATAGAATTCAGCATATTTCAAGATTTTCTTTCAAAATTTGACTTTTGTGAGGGCAAAGATATGCAATATACTGAATATAGGTCTTTAAATTTGTATATGAATATATTATGATAATGGCAACTTTATCATTTTTAAGGCTGACCTGGTCGACATTGATATTTTTAAACTATTCAACCCTGGAAAGGGAGATCTCTGTATAACTAATTCAAAAAATACATATTGAAGCCTTAACACGTGGTTTTATCATCAAAAATATTACATTTTAAAATATCACTTTTTAAGGTTGATCTAGTGGGTATAGAATATGCAAAATTAACGAACAGTTACCATGTTTAAAGTCCAATACATGGAGAAGTAAACATTTTCTCTCGACGGCTAAACTACTTTTTGTAGTTATTTAATCCGGCAAATTCAGTGTAAAAAATAAGAGGTAATGGGAGCACTGATTTCACTAAACGAAACCACCCATCTTCCATATGTGTATGATGGCAAAGTCCATGTTTTGCTCTGGGAAACCCGATATAAGTGTCAGATCAAAAAGTAATATAGAAGGTGCACAATAGCATTATGTTATAAATATTATATGAACGTCTTTTATTTTATTTTATTCAGTGGTATTAGAGGAGTTGTGGAAAGATGATGGGTAACCCAAAACTTAACAGACAGATGGCCTGACAGACAGACGGACATCCCGATAACTATATACCCTCTCACTTTTTAAGCAGGGTATAATAAGGCCGAACAATTTGAATAAAAGGCATCAAGAGATAGTTTAACTTGTATAGACTCCAAGCAAGGTCATCGTATTAACAATAAACTTTGCAAAATATTGACATAATTAATGTTTGATCTACTTGTACTATCAACTTATTAATAGCAATTATCTGTTTGGAAATTGATCGTTCATAGAATTTGATAAGCGAATAGAATCAATTTGAAGACACAATACACACATTGAGGTGATTGTATATAGATGCATAATGAAGGACAGATGATGATAGAAAATTGTCATTACGTTTATCATAAAAAATATGTTAGTTTGCAGTATATGCCTTTTCCTTGTAAACATCCGGATAAATAACAGAAGTGTGAGATTTCCTTTGTCTTTTATTTCGAGTTCAAAGAGATGTCTCGAATCAATCATGCATGTTGTTGTACACTACTCTTGAAGTTTCTCTTTCAGATTTGCTTATATTTTTGTGAAAATTAAAGAGGGATTATTAGAGAACATTAACGAGAACCAGCTATGTATCTTTCTAGATTGTAAAGAAAGAAAAATATGAAAATTAGCAAGGTAACAATTGCTTTTTGTTTCTATTTTACATAACATTACATATTTTTCTCAATAAATGACCCTTTCCTGCTCATTTGCAAAATAAGTTTGTTAAAACACATTGAGATTGCACACACAAGTATTCTGAAGTTGACATTAAAAGATACTTGACAATATCAATGTGGTTTTTAGAGACCAGATCTTCCAAAAATCTATTGGAATTTCCATGTGTAATAATTTCACGCCGTTATAAGTAAATTCATATGAAGCAGAATTTGTGAAAAATTTTATGCGTTAAAATAAGAAAACATTTAATGTGGCCTTCAGCTCGACATTTAGATCGCTACACAATAGCATGCTCTAAGTATAAACAATTGCTCAACCGAGGTAAATTATAGCCAAACAAGTTGATGAAACAATAATATCAGCAGTTTCGTTTAAAATTATCGTCTCGTAAGTTCTATGGTCGAAACAATAACCCTGTCAGCAAATACAATTTGTCTTTGAGTCAAATGCTGACTGACGTTTTTCATACTGATTGTTTGTTAGTCCATTATTTATACACTGAATTGTCGACGGATATTTCCCGTTATTTCCCGATCATGACAAGGAGCTCACGGTGGGTTTGGCCAGTCAGCATAGGATTCTCACTCCTCGATGGCACATGATCCCATCTCTGATGTTTTGGAGGTTCGTGTTTGCTCTGCTCCTATTTTGTATTGTTTTATGGACTTTCGATCTTCTGTTCATTATCTCCATATATTATATATATCGACGATGTATTGTCAATTAACAATGGTAATTTGTATTCCTATTACGATACGATATATCCTGGGGAGCTTGAGATAAAAGATACCAGAAAGTCTGACATATCTGTTTCATCCTTGAGTATTTTACTTTAAAAAGACGTTAAAGGTAATCTAACAACCAAGCTCTATGATAAACGTGATGACTTTAACTTTTTGATTGTCATTTTCCCTTACTTAGGCAGCGATAACCTTGATGACGTACATACAGAGTTGTTATATCTCAGTTGATTCGATATGCAAGAGCACGCTCTACATATGAACAATTACTTAAACGAGGTATATTTTTGACAAACAAGTTGATGATACAAGAATACAGTATAAGCAGTTTCGTTCAAAGTCCTCATTTAGTAAGTTCTATGGTCGATACAATTACCTTGTCAGCAAATACAATTCATCATTGAGTTAAGGGCTGATTGACGTTTTTCATACTAATTGTTAGTCCAATTAGGTAGCATCTGATCCCACCTTTGGTGTTTTGGAAGCACATTTTTGCTCTGTTCCTATTTTGTATGTCTTATGGACTTTGAGATTGAAAACTGTTCGTTATCTCTATGTCCTTTATTGGTTGAAATCATGTATATATGTAACTGTTACATGTAATATCATAATTTAATCTATATACTTAATTGTGATATAAACATACTTCCAATTTGCGTGTTACTCCCCAACCATTTATTGTGGAAAAATGCATGTAAATTTCTCGAACACTAACATTATGTTAACGGTAGGTATGTGTTAAATGTTCCCGGTAATTCGATTTTAAACGTATATGCATTGCAAAGTATCGATATCTGTGCCTTATCTGACATTTGTATGTTTTAAAAGCAAACACATAGAGATATAGCTAAATCTACAAACCGTTTTTGGTAGAGGATGGAACACATCGAAATGTATACTTTCTTATCTTAAGTAAATATGGAGTGATTCATTACAAAAAATGTTATTTCTTTCCTTTATAGCCTTCCAGAATGATCTTTTATATGTGGTCGTAAGAAGCTAATGGCTAATAGGTAATAATACATGTATATAAAAGAAAAAATAATCCGTTACATTTCATTACTTGAAGGACAAAAAGTTTGATTTTGTACTACTTAAAATATCATAGACAAATTATTAATTATATTAGATGTCAACCAGGAAGCAATGATTGAAATTTAAGAAAGAAAGCATCTGATACAATTAAAATTACGCACAAGTCTTCTTTTTCACTTAAAAAAAGGTTTTTGATTATGTGTTCTTAAATAATAATAATAATTTGTAACCTTAATTTATATATCCAACATTCTCATAAAGTACTTGTTACTTTTTGAATTATGCATGATTCTTTCGTAGCTATATTGTCGCCCGCGTGGCGCAGTGGTTAGAGCGTCTGCTCTAGAGTCGCGAAGTAAGGAGTCAATCCTTACGTCGCGGGTTCGAATCGCACTACGGGACGTGGAGACCGGTCCTTCGGATGAGACCGTTTAAACCGAGGCCCCGTGTCACAGTAGGTGCTGGCACGAAAAAGATCCCTCACTGCTCAAAGGCCCTGAGTGCCGAGCATAGGACAAAATTTGTAGCCTTCCACCGGCAAGTGGTGGGGTCTCCATATGAGTGAAAAATTCTCGAGAGGGACGTTAAACAACATACAATCAATCAATCGTAGCTATATCTTAATTGGTACTCACAAAGAAGATTATGTTAATGACAATAAGAAATCCTTTTCCAAACTTTCCACAGCCAGTAAGTCCCATCTTGGTTGAACTTTTCTTCACTATTTGAAAAACTCGGATTTTAATCAGAGCTTCAGTAGCGTTATATAATGTACTTCAAATTATTTTGTACAACCGAAGCAAAATATCCTTTATCTAGGAATTTAAGCAAAACTACAACTGGCCACACGATGTTCAAGTAAGACTTTTTAAGTTCCAATACGTAAATTGCGACTAACCTTTAAAAGGGCCTTATCGCCTCTTTTGTTATAATTTATTACGATTGAAAATTTTGTTATCAGTAAGCTTGTATTCAAACAACATTATAGTGACAGCATATTAAATGTCGTAATCTCTGTGTATCCCAGGGGTTTATAATTTCTATCGATGTCGGCAAAAAAGGTATGTCGCCCGGAGAAAGTTTTATTTATCATTCAAAACCCAGTGCTGTGTTTCAAACTTTATTGATGCCATAAAAGAAGGATTAAAAATCCTTTCATAGGAAAACACATTTTTCATTATCATTTTTCATTTTTCATGTATCATTATCTTTTTAAATCTAATGTTGAACAATTTGATGCACAAATACTGTAAACCAACTTTTATTCGCGTGCGAGAAATTTAAGTGAAGTTCGTGAGGGCCTCGTCATCGCGATTTTTTCTCGCCCCGAGCCGGTCCTGAAAGTTTTTGTGTCTATTTACAACAGATCAAAAAAGGTTTGATCGCGAAAAAAAAAAATCTTCGCAAACTAGTTAATCTCTGGTAAATCGCGAAATTAAGTCGTCGCGAATAAAAATTGGTTTACAGTAATAAGTGTCATGTTTCGAACAACTTAGAACCTTTACTTACTCGGGAAGCTTTTACTTATGTCTTAACTTCTCTGTTCTGAATCTTGTCAAGGAGAAGATAGAAAAATATCTTATATTAAATATAATTGATTGTTTTCCATTCGTGGACTCATACTACTTTGAAGGGCCAAGAGTTAAACAATTTACAACCTACGTTATAATTGCCTTGACTATGTTTCATTAAATCTGGTCCAGTGGTTCTTGGGAAGAAGAGACTGTAAATATGATACACTATATATACATGTATACCCAACCACCATGTGTACCCAACCACCCTCCATCCCCCCAAACACTTGTATTAGATTGAACATAATTTTTTTTACATTTAATTTAGACAAAAATGTTGATTAATTAAAGATTTTTTCACCTGTTTTTTTTTTTTAATAATGAACCTTCTCCATAGCGACCTCGCAAGCTCAGTCACACACTTAATAATGGTAATTTCCATTCCTACGTCGATTAGATATATCCTGGGGAGCTTGAGATAAAAGATACCACAGAGTCCGACTCTTCTGCTTCATACTTGGATATTTTACTTGAAAAAGACACTAATGGTAATCTAACAACAAAGCTATATGATAAACATGATGACTTCAACTTTTCTATCGTCAGCTTCCCTTACTTATGCAGCAATATAGCTTCATCACCTGGATACGGAGTATATATATATCTCAGTTGATTCGATACGCAAGAGTTCTACGTATGAACAATTTGATAAAACAAGTTGATAAAACAAGAATATAAACAGTCTCGTTTAACACGCATTCTCAATTTATAGTGCCAAATCGACTTTGGGAAAAGTCAAAAAATTTTGTGAACTGAAACTAACACTTTTATATGTCATTTGAAACATGAAGGTGTATAGTTATTAAAAATCACAATTTGATTTACATACTTCAAGCTGTGTTTTGTTGATCTCCTTCGAAATGAATGCGGTTGGAGGGCTAATTTTACACCAAGATATTTACGTGATGTTGAAAAGCCATATGTAGAAACGAAAGATTTTTTTTGAAAAATACAAAATTAAGATAAAACACATCAAATTTTGTTAACTATAAACATGTATGAAACCGTTTAAGCACATTTGTAAAAGGGTGTGAAATCTTTGATTCAATTATTAGTAAAAACAAAACAGGCATAATTTTCATTTAATGAAATTATTTCCTCTTTATTTTAAAAAGTTTTTTTTATCAAATCTGACGATAACCTGAATAATAACAACATCCCCAAAAATGTATCATTAATTGATTCTTTATTAATCTGTTCAGAGAAACGCACATTTTTTAAAATATCAGAAGGTAAAATATTTCGCCATTACCTGATTACGAGGTGTTTGATAAATATCACGTAAATATCACACATAGATATCATACAAAAATAAAATTGAATATTTCATTTCAAATTATTGAATTTTATGAATTTTCCTATCTGTGTTCTTGACAAAGGGTTACATAGAAAATTCAATTTATGACCTTTCTATAGAGGATTCATTTAATTTATTAAACCCCCCTACCATCATTTATCTTTTGATTATTTCAGATGCTTAATTGCTAGTGAAAACTTTATCGTCAAATCTCAAAAAAAAAAAAAAAAAAAAAAAAACAAAGTTACCACCACCACCCTTAAAAAAGGTTTGTTAATAATAACAGTTTCATATTATATGTGTTCTATTAAGCAATATACGTACATTCTACATTAATATAACGTAAATTGAATTTTCAGTACCATTAAAGCATAGACGCATACGTTCTAAGTTCTATGTCTAAGCAACAATTTAAATGAGAAAAATTAGGTGCACAATTTAATACATGTATTTCTTGCAAAGTAACAAAAATGAAAATGGATTCAATTTTGACCAGTTTCTTGACACCCAACACCCACAGTCGCCTTTTTTCTTTAACCCAATGTGGAAGACCCCCACCCCCACCCCCTTACATGCAGCGCAGCGCCTATTTTCTGGAATTATATTTCCTACAAAAAATGATATTTTCTTCTTCAAAATGTTTAGCTTGGTATACAATTTAGATGTATATAACCATTATTTAAGTTGACGATACACTATCAGTTCAAACAAACAGCAAAATACAAACTAAAAGAAAGTTTTGTTTCAGATTTACGTTCCGAATGATAACGTGCATTACACTTAAAACTATGCAATATTAACCAATTGCTCAAAATGAAAACATTCGATCATTAAACTACAATTCTACTTGTGAATAATATTATGTCAGATCAATTTTCAAATCACACGGATGCACAACATGTGTAAAATATGTTCACCCTTGCATGTGCACTTCCATTTGCATTTCTGCACTCTTGTTACAGAAAAATGTCATTCTGAGAAACAGTTTATTTCTTCATGTTTTTAGTTTTTATTTCATTAAGATTCACTCGCAAATCTGTTTAAACAGCTTTAGAATTTAATTCTAATTTACTTTAAAACATGGTAATGTAAATATTGGTAACGTAAATATCGGTAACGTAAATATCTTTCTGAGATTTATCATAACTTTTAATGCTGTTGTTTAATTATTCCAGTTAATTAAAGGCATATTTTAGTGCTTGAGTGTAAAGCAATTTGACCCATTGGAAACAGTGTAGTTCTCTTACTTAATTTGTGAATAAATACTAACACGTAAATATCGATGATTTTTTTAACCATTGGACTCATAAGAAAAGGGGGGCTATATTTCATAAATACAGATAAACAGTGTCTTTTTTACCATTCCATGCAATAAAACAAGTGTTCATGATGTTAAAAAGTTACATCTTAATCTCATTGAGTCAGTTCAACAATCCTTCAAGTCCTTTTGAATTTCCAAATAGAAAAGTAATAATTTTGTCGTGACATCAAAATTTGATAAATATATTAAATTTTTTAAAAATTTGCGACACGCATTTGTGTGAAGGGTGTGATATTCAGAAATTATAACTCAGATGTAGGGCAATCCTACTAAGAAAAAGATATGTAAGTGATTTAAAACTTCTTTTTGGTTTAAAATAAAAACTACACTATGATCGGCGACAGTAACGTAAATATCGATTTCTGCTATAAAATGTGATTTTCGCCTAAGACAATCATTCAAGTTACAACAAACAATTGTTGTATTTTAATCAACAACCAACAATGGTTCATATGACTGACAGAAAATAAAATTTATAAGAAATATTTTATGACTTAAAACATGGTACATTATTTAAAGCGAATTGAGACTATAATTTTAGAATCAGTGTTAAAGTCATCATTTCGTAAGTTCTATGATCGATACAATGACCTTGTCAGCAAATACAATTTATCATTGAGTCAATTGATAACTGACGTTTTTCATACAATTGTCAATTCATTATTTATACACTGAATTGAATTGACGACGGATTTTTTCCCGTTATTTCCTGATCATGACAAAGAGCACACGGCAGATGTGACTGGTCGGCAGGGGATGCTCACTCCTCCATAGCACCTGATCCCATCTCCGATGTTCTGGAGGGCTCTGCTCCTATTTTGTACTGTTTTATGGACTTTGAGATTGATTACTGCTCGTTATCTCCATATCCTTCTTTCTGTGTCTTCGGTCAATATCACTCGATATCGGTTGTATAATTTACCAAAAACCGATCCACATTGAAGTTCATAACTGTGTAATAATGAATAACGCACAAAAACTATTCATTCATTTAATAAAGTATTGTTAATAAAAACAATAATGATAATAGGAAATGTCAATACACCAAAGGATATGCATTTTCTGATGATTTGATTTCAAAAGCCTGCTTTTACTCAGTATCACGATATTTTAACTTAATCCTTAGTTTGTATGGTCGTCGGTCCTACAACACACTTGGCCGTGCCGACAAATTGAATACCGACGACATCAAGAAATTCAATGCTTATATTCATGTTCTCTAATTTTCCCTCTTCATAATTGTTTATTTTGTCAATCTTTAATGTGAATTTAGCGCCCTTCAAAACTGTTGTGCTTAATAGACGTAAGGACCGTTTGCGACTTTGGATTGTTAAATTACGCAAACGAACATTACGAGGAAAAAAGTGACATATTAATTTTCATCGCGCATTTGTTACATTTTTACGTTAATTTATCAAGGGTATAGTTTTTCATTAAATTGAAATAAAACATTGTACATTTTGGTGTCATGGAGTATTGAAAATGCATAAACATTGAACCAACTTCTAAGTGTTCACCTGGCATTTTTAAGTTTAATGGAACAAATGCATACAATAAATAATTTCTTTAATGCATGGTTAATGATGCATCTTTAAGTTCGATATTG